CGTCAGGCCTGTCCGAGGCCTGCTTCGAGGCAGTAAATCTTGTTTCTTCACTCGAGGTGACCCCTACAGCAGCTGTAAATGAATTACTGTAAATTACACCATGAGAAAAAAACCCTTTGCTGTGCCTTTAACTCTAACCTGAGGTGTGAGTTTTAGAACCAGCTCCTCCAGCAGACTCTTCTCGCAGCTCTGGAAGATGGTAACTTTAGAGAGCGTGGGAAGGTGGACACTGACGGCGATCTCTGTCCTCATGTGTAAGGGCAGCTGCTCCAGGATTTCTATCTCTCTCATGATCTTCTTGTTGAGCTGAAGATGCTGGTACCAGTTATCGATGCGCTGACGAAGCTCCTTGCTTACATGGTGGCTTCGCAGATATGCTTTCACCTAAATTAGAAGAACTTAAAACTTAGTGAAAGAATGCACTGCAAAAACTGTCCATCTTACCAAGTTTTAAAATCTTATATCAACCAAAATGTCTTTTTGATCTTGTTTTCAGACTGATTTACTAAACAAGAACTGATTGTGTAAGAATAATCATCTTGTTTTCAGAATGTGTAAGATTATTTGTCTTGTTAGCCTGAAAATTTGACTCAAATCAAGTCAAAAATTTCTGCCGGTGGAGTAAGAAAATTTTACTTGGTAAGATTCTTGAAATAAGAAAAAAATGAATCAAATCAAGTATTTCAAGAATCTTACCAAGTAAAATTTTCTTACTCCACTGGCAGAAATTTTGACTTAATTTGAGTCAAATTTTCATTCTGAAAACAAGATGATTATTCTTACACAATCAGTTCTTGTTTAGTAAATCAGTCTGAAAACAAGATCAAAAAGACTTTTTGGCTGATATAAGATTTTAAAACTTGGTAAGATGGACAGTTTTTGCAGTGTACAATAATTGGTGCATCCTCCTGTAAGAAAAAGTTTGGCCTGTGCCTCGTGTCAAGAGAGGATTTTCATCATGCAATCTATGTAAAAAAAAAACCTCACAGGTTCAGGTAGTGTGAAACAGGTTTTAAAACCAGGTATCCTGTGTTTTGGAATATCCTCACGGTGTGTTTTTGCTGCAGTGGTTTGAGGAGAAGCTTCAAGAGGTGGAGGCTGCGGATCAGCAGTTCAGGAAGCTCCACACTATGGTCGAGTCACTGGTCTTTCACAGAAAAGGTTGATTCTTTTTTACACCAGTTTGTCCTAATATTATTTGTTGCTCATTTCTCTGAAACCGTTTTCTCCCTCAAGATATTTTTGTTTGTGGTATCTTGGTGTTAACTTGAGTCTCTGTTTTCCAACAGAGCTCTCACTGAACACGGCAAGCTTTGCTAAAAGTGCAGCCATGCTGGGCAGCGCAGAGGACAACACCGCTCTTTCCCGTGCCCTGTCTCAGCTGGCCGAGGTGGAGGACAAGATGGAGCAGCTACATCAAGACCAATCTGCTAACGACACCTTTGGATTTGCTGAACTCATCGCAGACTACATCCGCCTGTTGGGAGCCGTCAGGGTACAGAAAAACCTGTCCTTAAATAGATAATTCAAGAAAGAAAGAAAATCAAGTTTTTTTTACCAGTTGTTCTGAAAAGAAGCTGTGACTAACTTGAAGTACAATGCAATTGTGTGTTTGCTGCCTCCAGGGGACATTTGACCAGCGGATGAAAGCATGGCAGCGCTGGCAGGATGCTCAGACCATGCTTCAGAAGAAGAGAGAGACCGAGGCTAAACTGCTCTGGACCAACAAACCGGACAAGCTGCAACTGGCCAAAGAGGAGATCGCTGAGGTACGAAAGGCCGAAAACAACAGCTGACTTCCATGGCAACTTTTCAGTGTTTGGATAACAACTGACACAAATACATTTCCTGTTTCTGGGATCACTTTTCCCTTTATATTAATTCAGGGAAAACAATTATTTAATACCTAAATCGAATAACTTTGTTGCTGCATTTAAACTCTAGTGACACTTTTTTCTCCACGCAAACAGTGGGAAGCCAAAGTGACTCAGTATGAGAGAGACTTTGAGAGAGTTTCTGCAACTGTGCGCAAGGAGGTGACCCGATTTGAGGTACCATTTTTTGATTTTGTCGTTGCTGTGTCTATAATACAGTTCTGTGTACCTACAGGGTTCATGCCGGCTCTTAAAAAGTCTAATAGGCTTAAAAAAGTCGGAAAAACGCCCAGATTTTCATCCAAGGTCTTAAATTTAATTTTGTCAACTCTTAATTTTTTTCTACTTTAGATCATTCCTGAGAACCGTTGGCTGCATAAATAAAGTTAAGAGTCGTAATCAGAGGTTGTCGTCGCATGAAAGCAGAAACACGTTGGAATAATGCACAGAAAGTCTGCGTGTATGGTGGTCAATAATGATTTAATTCTGAGCGACAAACAGACAGGACTCAATCAGGAAGCTCCGTCGGCCTGTCACTGACATGTCAGCGGACACAGCCAATAATATACACCATGATAACATCATATGACGTGCTTATAACCAATCACAGATCGACAAATTTACTGTCCAGCCAATCACAGGGCTCCCAGCACAAAGAGTGTCTTATCAAACAAGAGAGGTCAGTCTGTTGCGGAGTCCTGTTGTCTGGACAAACAGATTAACATTGAACAAGTGAAACAGATAGATAATTAGTCCATAACACTCCCTCCTCTTGAGTAAACAATACTCAAAACCAAACCAAATGGAATAATTATGAAACGTCCAAACACAAATGTATCACTCAACAACAAATACACTGGAAAAAATAGTGCAAGTTAAATGACGACCAACAACACATACATTCAATCAATGTAAGATACAACAGGAAAAAAGGCTTAAATGACAAATGAAACATCATTACACGTCAGACGAATCGATGAAGAAAGACATGTCAAAATTTAAAAAACTCAAAAGCCCAAAGTTAGACAAGGTATCACAACACAAGTTCTGCCTCCCAGTGAATTTGATCTTGTGAGCCGCCTATGTTCCATCAGAATCTTATCTTGGATAAAGTGTTAACTTAATAACAACTTGTTGTCAATAAATGAACCTTAAGTAATGCAAGTTAGGACAATGTGCAGAATTCAGTTCCCACCCCATGCAGTTCAAAATCACTAAAAACAAAAACCACAGCGCCCATAAGGCATGAACAGAAAATGCATGAATCACTGGCATGAGCTGGCTCGTGCAAGGAAGAGAAAAACACAAAAAACAAAAGTGTAACAAAAAATAACAAACAAAGCTAAACCTAAAGTCTAAATAAATTAAACTAAAGGAAATAGCACCCCCCTCCTCTTGTTCTCTCTAGATCTGTCTTCATGAAGCTAAGTTTGCTACCGGTCATGATTAAACTACAAATCCCATGATAACTGCAGGTAAAACTGTCACAGTTTACTTCATGTTTTTGACCTCTTTGCTGCTACAACCCCCCACATACAGCCCCCCACATACAGGTGTCTTATTTACCTGCTCAACAAACAGAAGTTCAGTCATGTCCACTGCTTGTTGTTTAAACATGGGAAAGTGTGTTTTCAATGAGACTTGACTTGATATCAGTGATTTTTTTTCACTCGGTTGAAAGCGGTTCACAGCAGTCAGATATGACTGTTTCATTCAAATAATTTAGTGTTCTTGTATAAAAATTAAATATTCTTTAATAATTAAATGATAGCAATAAAATGTTTCTATTATAAAATTTCCTGGCCCATTTTAATGTTTCTGTTAATGCGTCGATTTGGTCTTAAATGTCATTACTAATGGTCTTAAATGTCTTAAATTTAACGTACTGAAACCTGCATGAACCCTGTACCTACTGTACTGTGTGTGCAATGGATTTACTGAGATACAATCTAAAATGGAAATAGATTAATTATTTCTACAACTATATTAGATTTTGTGGTTGTTCAGAAATTTCAGTTTCTGAAGAGATTTCCAACTTTTCAGGACATTTCAGTCTGTTTTTCCAACATGGAAGTCAGACATGGAACGTACCATAATAGATGTAACTCAAAAATAGTCGGCACAAGAAATGTTTTTTTACGTTGCTAAAATTAAACGCTGAGATGAGCTAAGTCATTATTTGATTCTGAACACAGAAAAATTAGTGGTTAGAAACATTAGTCCTTGTTCATGACATGAACAAGGACCAATGTTTCTATCTGCTAACTGTTAAGATTTAAGACTATTTTTGTCTTTAAAAAACAAAGAAATATCTGTAAGGACTTCCACAAGCAGCCCCCCCCCCCCCACCCAAGTGGCCCCCCCAGTTTTATCCTTTTGAGTACCCAGGTTTTTCCTTTTTCATTTGCCCTAGCTATTTAGGAATAGAACCTCATAAATATAAAAACAAACACTTGTTTTTAACAATTAAGAGTTAAAAACAATTTATATTTTATTTAAAATTAAAAAAAATWAAACTAGACATGGGTTTTTACGATGTAAAAACAAGTGTGTATTGCCATGTAGCACGGCTTTGCAGCATGGCTTTGACTGCAGCATGAACTGTGCCCAAGTTCAAATGTGTTTTCTACAACATCTTGTGAAGTCAGCAGGTGTTTGTAATGAGCATAATTGTGTGACAATATGATGTGTGTAGAGATTTTTTAGTTTAAGTTGCTGTAGCTGGGGTTTGAACCCTGATCACCCACATGAAAGCCCATGGCATTAACCATTAGACCATTTGAGCTGTGGCAGAGTGGATTGCCAGGAGTTGGTTTGTATGTGTGCAGAAAGGGGCCACATTGCCAATGCAATCGTTGACACTAAACTGCAATATATTACAAAAATAGGACAACATTAAGACAGTATTACAGTAAAACATCAAAATACAATCATATTAATATTGTAATCACTGAACTACTGAACTTAAATATTATGAAACTATGGTGCAGTACCATATTGTGTAGATGCAGCAGGGGGCAGTATTGGACAAATACAAGGCTGCATTGACTGTCATTATAATTTATTAAACATTAATATTTCAAAAACTATAAGTTTTACAGGCACCAAAAGGCATAGCCATCATTTGGCACAGGGGCTTTACAGATATAAATTACAACGGCAGCTCTAGGACAAAGTGTGCAGGAGGAGAAGCATGGCAAAGTTGAGATGACTTGGATGGGAAATGAATCACAATAGTCTGCATTGCATTGGCAATGGACACTGATTAAAATTTAGTTCCTCTGAATAAGGACAGCCAGTCTAAAACCAATGTTCTCAAATAAAGATGGAGGTTCTCAGGAGGTTATATTGATATATTTTAATTAAATCTATCATTAATTAAATAATTTAAATAATTATATAATACATATAAAATTAGGCAGTACAGTGGCACAGTTGGTAGAGCAACAGAGCCTTTAAGGAAGAAGGTTTCTAAAATAACTTTCTGGGTTATGTTTACATCTTCTCCTTGGGCATGAGTGGGTTTTCTCCAGGTACTCCAGTTTTCTCTCACAGACCAAAGTCATAATTTTTAAAACTAACATGTCATGAAAAAGCAAATAACTTAATAATATGGGATAACACTACAGTTGTTTTAGTCTTTATTTCCAGTTTGGGGTATTTATAATTACAGTTTTTCTTCACAAAAGTAAACATCAACAATCAAAATTTTTTTACGTTTTCAGCCATTTTAAAGGTGGCTTTAAAATTGAGAAAGCTTGTTCCTTGTAAATGTCTTTAAACATATATTTTGACATTTTTAAATAAAATAACAACATCACAGTAATCAGTTTAAAAGGGAAGTCACATTTAAAATTTAATTCATTTAAACCCCCACATTTACCATAAAATATTAGTTCACCCAGTGTTTCTCTTGTTTACCAAAATTCCACTTAGTTTATAGAAAACTCACACCAAGTGTTTTCTTATGTAGGTAAAAATCTGTTTAACAACTTGTTAAAATACACCAGAATGAAGGCAATGGTATCTACTTTGTTTAAAATTTTCTGGGGGAGGACCCCCAGACCCCCACAAGTGGGTCCCCCTAACATTRCAAATACTTCTGATGCCAATGAAATATGTAACAGTGTAAGTACAATTTATGGTGCTCCATGTGTAAAAATGCAGAAAAAATTTAAAACGAACAGTTGCAGAAGCGCAGATGGTTTTTGTTCTTGTTTTATTTATTTATTTATTTATTTTTGTCTCTGGACGTCACAAAATCAATAATATTATCTGTAATATTACAAACTGAACATCTGTTGCCAAAATAGCTTTTATATTGCCATGATTTTTAAAGTGTTGTTTTTATAACCACATCATAAAATTTCTGTTATGGATATTAGTTTTGGTGTGCCACCCATTGTTTTTCAGTGGCCCCCCTGAAAAAATGTCTGCAGGCGCCACTGTCCACAAGGCCCGCCACTGAAAATAACTCCTGTTAGGACAAAGGTAGCAGACACGTTTTTAACTCTGCTAGTTGGAGATTCTTGATTTCTGTCTGTTGGTCACTGGTTTAATAGATCAAAGTGGAGCGGTGCTCACAAACTGTAGGTCACCGCTTTCACTTTTCAATCTTTTCTAAATTAAACAATGACAGGAAAGATGATGGTAAAAACAGACAAAAGATCATTTTTCTCCAGGCACTGTGCTGTTTGGTGCATTGGCACCACCTAGTGGCAATGTTGGCAATGCACCAGGTACATGGAGGAAACATCAGTCAGAATTGTATAATGCTTATTCTCAGTCCACATCAGTCTGGAAACTGCTGAAGACAATAATCCTAATTTTAAATTTCTGTCAACAGAAAGAGAGGACCAAGAATTTCAAAAGACAAATCGTTAAATACTTGGAGTCTCTGCTTCAGTCTCAGCAGCAGGTGAGTGCATCTCAGACGAAACATAAAAGCTTCAAAACGTCTTCATCAATTTCACAACCTCTCAACACCTTAGTTGAGAAGTTTTGATGTTACGTTAGTAAAATGTAAGATAAATGTAAGGACAAAGAGTAGCTGAAATAGTAGAAGAAATCTTTAAAGAAATTAAACAAAAAGTTTGCTAATATAAAGCTGACTCTTTTTAATGTTCAGTCATAAAGCTGAAGCTGATCCAGTGTTTTTTTTCTCTGTGCAGCTGATGAAATACTGGGAGGCGTTCTTACCTGAAGCTAAAGCCATCGCCTGATCTTCTGAACCACAAACAGTCTGCCTCCTTCTTCTCCACTTTACCTCTTCTGCCTTCAAACCAACAAAAATCTGCTTCTAAAAGGGAAAGACAATCAAACCTGTTTTTTTAAACATCCTAAATATATAAATCTATATTCTATTCTATATTTTCATTTAACTTTCCACAAATATTTTCTTATGAGAGCAGAAACGATACAGACCATAAAACAGTGATCTGCTGTGAGGATGATCCTTTCACTTCATGTGTAGTTTATCGTTTACAGCTGTTTCTGTGGAACCAGATCCTCACATTTTGTTTTTCCTTAATCAGATGTTTCAAAAAGGGATATAAAGACCAGTTATGAGCACTTCTAACAGCTGACTAATGTACTTAAGTTTCAGCATTTGCATTTACTTAGAGATTGAAGTAAAAGATGCAGGAAGAGATTTGTTGTTACATGTAGGTGGAATTTGAGACAAACTTTGTCTGTGCCTTCTGTGTGCCTTTTTTTGCCTTCAGACACTAGTTGGACCAAAATCTGGGCAGAGCTGTAACATCCCGTTAAATTAAATTCCTCCTGTTGGTCCTGAATGAAAACCTACGACAGACTCCTCTCTTATTGTTGTGTTAAATTGTTGACACCTACGTAAACATGGTTACTGCTGACGAGCACAGAGTGAGGATTAGGAAACTTCATGTTTCAGCAGGTTGGTTCTGTATGGGGTGAAGTTACACAGTCAAAAATTACCACCGATATTTGTTTTATTTAGGCTTTTATAAGAAAAAAGAACAGATTTATTTTTCAAAGTCAGTTTTTCACCATATAATTCATACATTTATAAATGTCATAGTTTGTAAACTAAATATTTAACTTACAAATTAAATATTTAGTTAACAAGCTAAATATTTAACTTGTGACTTAAAT